TTACAGATTTCTAAATGCCCGTATGTTTACAGAAAAAAAATTAGTGACTAATTAACTAGTCCCCCTCACACATCATCTCCCTCATCTCCCTCCTATAACTCTTCGATTGCTTCGCAATCTTCGAGTTAAAAATGAGAAACAACGGACCTTTTAAGCTTTCGTCCGAACCCCCCAGCCTACGGGCCTGCATTGTCAGTTAATTGTCTTCATGTGTTTTCTTAATTGATCCCGGGGTGACGAGGTGTGGGTTAGACCTGGGGGCTGTGAGACGCGAGATGAAAAGGTGGGAAGAAAGAAAGATTGAAGGATTGGTCATGCTTACATATATTTTGTATCCAACTACTGCTAGTCAAAAATACAATGGAACCGACGTACTTGACGGAAACTGGCACCACATTGCCATATCCTCCTCGCTGTCTAAAAAACAAATCAACGTTTACATCGATGGAAAGAAGAAAAGTCCAAAAATTGAAAATGTCTTCAAATACAAACAGTTCGCGGAAGAGATGAGATTCACCTTGGGACAGGAGCAAGATAGCTACGATAATGGAATTTACGAAGATCAAAGTTTTGTAGGAAACATAACAGCTTTCAATATGTGGGACAGATTTTTTCCAGACGATGAAATATCCCCGCTTGCCAAAGAATGCCCTTCTTCACACAGACAAGGCAACTTGTTGAATTGGCCTGACATTGTTCAAAAGAAGAATGACGCTCTCAAGTATTTCTGTGGATTGTCATGTGAAGATTTCGGTCTTGTTAACCAGGATCTTCGTAACCAGGAAAAGACTGCGCATGCGTGTTTTGATAACCAATGAACGCAAAGAATAATGCATCATCGTGAAGGAAATTCTTTCCCTTAATGCATTGCGAGATAGAGAGAATAGGCGGCACGTGAAGAGTGAGATGCCTGTCTTTGAAAGATATATTTCAAGCTGTTGAGAGAAATTTTGACTCTGCCGGGAGGAACGGAAAGAGACTCATAAAACTCGAGTATTGTCAAGAATTTATTAAGACATATTATTGTATTACTCTACACTTAAAGGGACATGGTCCACTAGCATGCAATGTGGTCACGTTTTAGATTTTTCATATATGGAAAATGAGGTGGCTTCGAATATCCATTTGCAATCCGTTTCCATMCATCGGTTTAACGGTCGCCAATCTTAAAGCATCTCCATTCATATAGGATAAAGGAATAATAAAGAGTAAGTTTTTGCTTATTTTACGATGTATCTATTCTATTTTCAAACATAAACAAAAGCTCGAAAGGGATGCTGGTGGACCATGTCCCTTAAATTTTTTTCTTGCATTAAAAATAATAATGATGTCGCTGCAATAATGATGATTTACGAGGGAGCTGAGAGAGTTACGTGCGGGGTCACAGTAGTGGGGCTATAGTAGCGGGGGTTTTAACAATAAATGTGCCCCCGACTACCAGGGGAAATGTTTTATTTTAACACCACTCAAACGTTAAAATCCCCGCTATTTCCCGGGGTTCGGGGGGGTGGGGGTGTCAATTTACTAGTGCATAACATCTTTAAAGACACAGAATCCACACGATCAGCTTAACTGAATTTAATCACAAACACACCGAGCTACAAGCTACAAGCTACACATGTACTTACATAGTCACGTGATAATATCTACGTCATTACACCATTCTTGATATGAAACAAGTTGTTGCGGGAGTAGTACGAAGAGTAATGCTTTACGGTCTCACACTTGCGTCTTTTTTATGTTTTTGAAGTAACAAACCAATAGAAATAGATAATTGTATACAACTTTGAAAGCAGCATGCTTTGTGACATGTCTAGACAATTTGACAT